GGCGGCGCCCATCACGGTGCCACAGGTCGGAGATGTGGGACCTCTGAAAACCCCTGGGTTAAACCAGGGGTGTGTAAGGGGCTGGAGGCCCGTGCACCGGATGCCCATCCCGGTACCAGAGCCATATGCCGGACTCCCCGGGGGAACGTCGGGGGTAACTGGGCATGCCCGGTCGGCGAAGCCGTGATGGGTTGTGGGTTTTGAACCAAGAATAGATCATATTAATATACTGGAGATGGAGGAGGACTGCGAGCAATCGCAACATATCTGCGACACGTCGCAGAGAAAAGGCGCCCAACACCGGCGCAGGAATGGGTCAGAGGCCACCACCTCTTTTTCTTCTAGGAGACTGAGAGGAGGAGCCAAAGGCAAAAAGCCTAAGTGGCTAAAGGAGGGGACTCAGAAGACACAGAGAGTACTCTGGTCGCGTCTGATTCCGATGGTGACGCGGAGATGTCTGACACCTCACACATCTCGGTCGGATCGAGCTCTGATCTTAGGGGGAAGAGTCCCCAATCTAAGAGGAGCAAGAGGAAGAGGCCGGCGACCACGGGCCAACAGACATCCTCCGAGGATGAAGATGTGGACAATCCACCTTCCCCATTCCAGAGGAAGAGGAAGCAGGGCCGACCGGCTAATTCACCTAGCCATGTAGGGCAGTACACTGCCGAAAAAAGGAAGGAAAGGGAGCAGTTCCTAAAGAAAGAGAGGAACAAGGAGCTGGCCCTTTCCATAGTGGAGGGTACCGAAACCGTCGACAAATCGACGAGAAGGTACAAGACGCATGTGAAGGCAACGAAAACTTGCGTAGAGCAGTTGGCGGACTCATCTGTCCAGGACGTCCTAAACGCCCTGGACAAAGAGGTGAAGTCCATAATGACAGTGGCAAGTAAAGGCAGCGGCATGCAAGGTGGCATTCAAAAGCTCCTGTATAACGCGGCCTACAGGATTGAGGCGGGCTCCAAGGTCCTGGCGTCCCGCACAGAGTCGGGTTATTATGACCCTCAGACCGGTAGAGCCCCCTCTTCTGTCAGCCCGCAGATAGAGGACCTAATGGCGGCAAACCGCCGATTAGAGGAGGAAAACCGAAACCTCTGAAAAGAAATGGAGGAGTTGACGAGAACCTCCCCTCCTCCCTCTCCCTTAATAGGGATCAGGGAAACGGAGGAGGAGGAAAGGATGGAAGAGGAAGAGAGTGGGGAGGGGTTGGAGGGGAGTCTCCCCCCCCTGGCTCCCCCCCGGTGATTCCTTACCCCTCTAGGAGGGAAATGGAGTAACATCCCGCCAATAGGCTCCCGATCCAGGGGGTTAGCAAGAGGTTGGAAGACGCCCCTTACCCGGTAATCACAAGCAACGTGCTTCTGCACGGTGACGAGTCGGTTACCACCCTGGGGCAGATACTGATGGGACAGATGAGGGAGGAATGGAGAAAGGAGATGAGAGAGATGAGGGAGCTCATTGAGATGAGACTCCCCCCCCTCCTTGCCTAACCCCCCCTTTCCGAGTCCCCTAGTGGTTCGGGTCCACCCCCTGTTAGGGCGGTGGCTCCCCCCACTGGGTCCTCAAAGAAGGAAGGAGGAAAGAAGGGGAAGAAGAAGGAGCCGAAACAGCGGTCCGCCGCCTCGCGACAGCCCACCGCCGGCCCTCCTCCTCCCCCTGCGGAGAAGAAGAAGGACCCGAACAAGAAGCCGGGTCCTCCGACTCCCCCTGGAGGGGATAAGACCGCCCCTGCTACCCCCTCTACCGCCGTAATCCGGCGGGAGGAGGAGCAACCATCCTGGGCGACGGTCACGAAGAGGGGGAAAAAGAAAACTCCCCCTAAGGCAGAAGGGACCAAATCAGTCCCCAAACCTCCTCCCTCCCTCCCCTCCCAAGGGGATGGAAAGAAGGGGGGAAAGAAGAGAAAAACCCCCCGTACAGCAGCGATCACGCTCACCTGCCCGGAGGGCAAGTACTCCGAAACGATGAGGTAGATACGGGAGAAGATCTCGCTCAAGAACCTGGGGATCTCTGGGCAAATAAGGCTTGATAAGGCCTAGACAGGGGCCATGCTGGTACAGCTGTCGGGCCCCGATAGAAAGGCTGAGGCGGACAGGTTGGCCAAAAGTATGGCTGACCTGTTCGCAGATAAGTCCGAGATCCGGATCGCTCGACCTCAAAAAATGGGGGAGGTCCGGATTAGCGGAACAGACCCATCCGTCACACCCGAGGATATTACTCGGGTGGTGGCGGAACTAGGAGGATGCTCCCTCACCGATATAAAGGTGGGGGACATTAAAATAACGGGGAGGGGCATAAGATCCGCCTGGGTCCGCTGTCCCTTAGAGACGGCCATCAAGGTCACAAAAACCGGCCGGATAACAATAGGGTGGTTCCCCTACAAGGCGGAATTACTTGACGCACGCCCCCTCCAGTGCCATAAGTGTCTGGAGAAAGGGCACGTGCAGGCCAAATGTCCCTCGGGCAATGCGGACCGCAGTAAATGCTGTTACCGCTAGTGGCACCCGAGGGGACAGTGAGGCGAGGAAAGTGCACGGCACCGGCACTTTGTGTTGTGTGCCAGGTAAGCAGGTCGGCCGGCCTCCCATAGAATAAGGGGGACCGGACATGCAAGGCCCCAAAAACGGGGAAAAGAAGAAAAGGGGGGATTATCCGACACCCCCCCAACAAAAAAGGGGAAGCAGGCGGCAGCGGCGATCATGCCTGCCCTGGTGGAGCTCAATCTCCCACAGGAAATGGAGTGCGAGCCCACCCCCTCGCAGCGCCCCGCCAATAAGAGCGCAATGGAGTTCAGCCTGCAGGAGTAACGGGTTTCGTGGACTCAACAATGTCTACGAGGCTCCTGCAGGCGAATCTGAATCACGCCCGTCAGGCCCAGGATCTTTTCATTCAGGACCTGAACGGGCGTGATGCAGGGCTGGGCGTGGTGGCGGAGCCATACGGCGTGCCCGACTCAAATCCCAATTGGGTCGCGGCCGCTAATAGCTCTGCTGCCATCATAAGAAGGGACTGCCTGCGCTCCCCCCCCGTATCCTTGTTGGAGAAGAGGAGGGGTTACATTATCGCGCGGTGGGGTGCCCTAAGGGTGGTGGGGTCTATGCCCCTCCCAGCATGTCTCACCCCGACTTCCTGCACCTCCTGCGGGAGATGGGGGGGGGGGCAGTTTGCCGATGTCTCCCCCATCCTGTGCTGGTGGCCGGGGACTTCAACGCCTGGAATACGGCGTAGGATTCCCGGCGCACCGGGATAAGGGGTGAGTGCGTGATGGACTGGGCGTCGGAGCTGAACCTCGTGCAACTGAACACGGGGTCCACGAGCACGTGCGTGCATCCCTGTGGGGAGTCTATAGTCGATCTGACGTGGGCCTCCTCACGGGCTGCACAATTGGTGGAGTCCTGGAGGGTGACGGACTCCGAGTCCCTGTCGGACCACTGGTCATAGAGGTGGTCCTGACAGCCACCCCCAGGGACGTGCTGCTCCGGCGGCTGCGGAGGGGAGATAGACCCCAACGCAGATGGGTCCTGGCCAAGCTTGACCAGGACCGGTTGGAGGCGTCGGTCTTGGTGGAGACGTGGGTGGATTCTCCCGCCCACGTCGAAGCCGAAGAAGAGGCCGCCGAGATCGTGGGTGTGGTCACGCGTATCTGTGACGCGGCCATGCCCCGATCGAGACCCGCCCCTCGTCGGGCGGTGTATTGGTGGAGCGAGGAGATCGCGGAACTCCGCAGAGCGGCCAATTCGGCCCGACGCGATCTCCTCAGGGCCCGACAAAGGGCGGGTGGAGACGATGAAGAGACTGCAATGGCGCGTGGTGTGTACCTTGCCGCAAGATATGCACTGCGGTCGGCCATTTGCAGGGCCAAGGCCAAGGCCTGGGAGGAGTTGATTGCAGAACTCGACAGGGACCCATGGGGGCGTCCGTATTGGATAGTCTAGAACAGGCTAAGAATCGGCGGCGCCCCCCCATCTCGGAGACGCTCGACCCGGAGTTCCTCGGCCAGGTGGTGGAGACCCCTCTTCCCCCGTAAAGGGATGCTTGCATCCCCCCGAGGAGGGATCCTCCCCCCTGGTCCGAGGACCTGGAAATTTCAGGAAGAGAGCTCTCCGAGGCAGCTAAGAGACTGTGGGCGGCTGGAAAGGCCCCCGGTCCGGATGGGATCCCTGGTCGAGTTTGGGCCTTGGTTTTTGGCGAAGTAGGGGCCCGCCTGAGGAGGTTGTATAACACCTGCCTCAGGACGGGCTCCTTCCCCTCGGCGTGGAAAACAGCCAATCTGGCTCTCATCCACAAAGAGGGGAAGCCGGCGGAGCAGCCTTTTGCTTACAGGCCGATTTGCCTGCTGGACGAGGTCAGCAAGTTATTCGAGAGAGTGATTGCTGACCGAATCGTCCAGCACCTGTCGCGAATTGGTCCCGATTTAAGTGACGACCAATTTGGATTCCGGGAGGGTCGCTCTACTACAGATGCGATTCTGCACTTGAGGGCCCTCTCGGACCAAATTGTAGGGGAGGGAGAGGTGGCACTGGCAGTGTCTTTAGACATTGTCAACGCATTTAACTCCCTCCCCTGGGACTGGGTGGGGGTGGCCATGGAACATCATGGCCTCCCCCAATATTTACAGGACGTAGTCTGGGACTACTTCCGCGACAGGACGCTCCAGTACAAAGATCAACTGGAGCGTGTAAGCAGAAGGCCAATGCACTGCGGGGTTCCACAGGGGTCAGTGTTAGGCTAATGCCGCAACCCGAGCAGTTGTATGCTCCATTAGAGCTATGGGACTAGAGGTCGCCCCGCACAAGACGGAAGCCTTGTACTTTTACAACAAGGCCATGGGGCGTCTTCCCCCCATCCAAATGTGGGTGGGGGAAGTCCGAGTCCTAGTGGGGTCCCAGATGAAATATCTGGGCCTCACTTTGGATGGGCTTTGGGGATTCAAACAGCACTTTGTGCAAATCCTCCCCAAAGCGGACAGGATGGCGGCTGCGCTAGGCCGTCTCCTGCCCAACGTGGGTGGGCCGAACGTGAAGGTTCGGCACTTATACGCCAATGTCGTGCAGTCGGTCTCCCTATACGGGGCACCGGTATGGGCCGATAAAGTCCTGGCCAGCCGGCGAATCAAAGCGATGATTCATCGCCAACAACGCCGGCTGGCCGTTAGGATAATTCGGTCCTACTGCACGACGTCGTTCGTGGCGGCCACGGCCCTGGCGGGCCTCCTCCCGGTCGAGTTCTTGGCGAACTCGTACGCCGAGGTCTATCGGCGTACGAGGAATCCTGACCGTACCGGGAGTGCCCGTCTAAGACCAGGGGCAGTGGACAAAATTAGGAAGAGTGCCCGTCGCAGAGCGGTGTCCCAATGGCAAGAGGCTATTGCGGACTCTGCGACGGGCAGATGGACCACCCACGCCATCCAGCCCTGTCTACCTGAATGGGTAGACAGGCGAGGACGAGGACTTGAGTTCCACCTGACACAGGTACTCACCGGGCATGGTTGCTTCGGTGACTACCTGTGCAGGATTGGTCGGGAGCATACGACGGGTTGCCACCACTGTGCGGCCGGTCGGGACTCGGCGCAACACACACTCCAGGAGTGTAGCGCATGGGAAGAGGAGCGTCGGGTCCTGACCGCAGTGGTCGGCGGAGACCTCTCCCTTCCGGCATTGATTAAGGCAATGCTGGAAAAGGAGGAGAAATGGAAGGCCGCCTCTAACTTCTGCGGCGCTGTAATGTCGCAGAAGGAGGAGGCGGAAAGAATTAAAAGGGGGGAGGCGGAGATGGCGGATAGCACTCCGCCATCCTCCCCGCCTCCCCCCCTCCCCCTTTGAGAAAAAGGAGGAGAGGCAACGGCGGTGGAGGCGCTCCCCCGACCGCGGTGCAGCGGCGAAGGAGAGTGATCCCCCATCGCCGTCTACCAGTCCCACGTGGGGATTGATGGGAGTAGGGGTCTCTCAGATGGTGGCGTTTAAACCACCACCGACATCATAGTCTGAGAGACCCCTGGGGAACGACATCCCAACAGGGATTTCCCCACAAATATAGACTGGGTGAAAGGGGGGAACCTAATCCCTCTCCTAGCGGGGACCATTCGTGAGCGGGGGCTCACGAAGGTCCCGGCCCCCCACATAAACCAGGGAGGGAGGGAGACTGTGGTAGCCCAGTCTTCCCCCCTATAAGAGAAGAAACAGTCAAGGTGAGGGAGAGAGAGAAGCTCTCTCTCTTCCCCCACCGGGAAGAGGCCGACACTCGGCCAAACCCAAGAAGGGGTGAGATGAATGCCGCTGGCGATGCCTCACCCCCTCTTACTATGGGTTAGGAAGGCTACCGGCGGGGGTTTTAGTGGGTATACCTCAAGGACACCTTCCCTGAGAGACTCCCACATAACCCTCGAGCTCTCCCTCGAGACCCGAGGGTATCCATAAAGGATTTCCCCCGCCTTACAAAAAAAAAAGGCGTGCCACGCGAGCGCCCTGGGCGAAAGTGTTACCGCGGACGGAGATCTGTGGGCTGAGGCCCACAGAATTTTAAGGGTCCTCCTCACCCTCCTCGAGGAGATCCGAGGACGTCGCGCGCAAGCGCCTAAGAGTGGGGGCAAAGGCCCCGGAGGAAAAGTGGGTTTAACCACCTATTCCTCTGTAACGAGGGAAGGGTCTGCGTCTAACGTGCGTAGCGTTGGGACGCAGACCCAGAGGAAGGAAGGGCTAGCGCCCGATAGAACGGTGGGAAAGGGAGGGGGGGTCACCCCCCCTGGTGTTTTAAGTGCCTCCTTAGGGGGCACGAAAAATGGC